GATGACAGAAAGGCAACAGCAACTCAAATAACCACTTGTTACACCCAAGGCATGCAGATAACCATCTCTAAACACACAAAACATCAAACCTTGAAGCAGATGGGCTACATCAGCAGAAGACCACACCGGGGGCCGCAATAGACAATAGAAGAAAAATGTGGCCTGGTCTAATGAGCCTCAATTTTGCTGCAACATTCAGATAGTAGGGTCGGAATTTGGCATAAACAACATGAAAGCACGGATCCATCCTGCCTTGTATCAATGGTTCAGACTGGTGGTGGTGTTGTAATGGTGTGGGGGATATTTTCTTGGCACACTTTGGGCCCGTGATGCTATCATGTCAATAAGGACCAGAATATCTGAGGAATGTTTCCAACACCTTGTTGAATCTATGCCACAAATAATTAAGGCAGTTCTGAAGGCAAAAGGGGGTCCAACCCTTTACTACCAAGGTGTACCTAATAAAGTGGACGGTGAGCATATGTTCAACTTATAAAGAAAACATACAAGAACTTTCATTTTGTGCATCCATTTGCACAGGGCAAATACTCACAGAGGTCTACATGGCCTACAGCTTTGCAAATAGTTTTTAAATAAACCCCTATATGTTGGTATTTTTGGGGTACTCAGTATTTTTGGGGTACACAGTGTCTTAGTCTAACCTCTATAAAGAGGGCTTGACTGCATGCACATTACAATTTGCATTTCCTTGAGGACCAGAGGGCCCATAATAACTTGTCATACTCTTGATGGACAGTTCTTTGGAGACTTAAGTCAAATAAAGACTGGAAGGCCCGGGTGACTTCAGCCTATATTCTTAAGATGGTTCTTGCAGAACTCTTTTTTATATAAAACCACCAGTCAGCTTAATTAATACTAGCTTACATTAATGCGCTTCTCCTGAAGTAACACCAGCATCCATGCAGATCTGTTCACAACAACAATTAATATTCAAAAGGGATGAACGAGGAAGCATTTAATGGCAGATAAAAATAATTGTAAATGATGGCGGTGTTGTCCTCAGCAAACTACAGAAGCAGATCATTGATCAGCCTGATTTCTTTTTAAAAGCTGAAAACATTTATGGGATTTTTTTCTTCCAAAAAAATGTGACCAAAAACAAAATAGCAATATGAAAATTAATTTACACTTTACTAAAATGTGTGTTTTGTCTGATGTTTTCAATTAGGGATAAACTGTACAAAGCTCAATATTCATGTAAACTGTCCATATCACATAGCAGTGCAAATGCAGAAATGCAACAGCCACTTCTATTGAGAATAATTACTTCTTTATTCTCAAGCCTTTACAAAAATACTCTTTTCTCAGGAATTTAACAATCATGCATTGGTGGAAAATTCACCACAAAAAAAAAATGAAATTAGGAGCCACTTGTGCTTCTATTCTGTATGGGGTGGTCTCACATAAAAACACACCCATCTAAGGGATTCTTCTGATCATAAAGTTGATCTGTGATGTTGGATATATGGGAGCTGCCAATGCTGACTTGTTTTAAAGATGTAGACACTAGAGTTGCCAAAACCAGAGTTGCCATCCTTATCTCAGCTATGTATTGATTCAATACATCCCCCCCCCCCAAAAAAAATCACACATAACTAGATTTCAGTCCTTAGTGGCTGTGTGCTAGCGTGCTAGCTCTAGGTCAAATATCTCCCAAGATAGTGAAACTAAGATTCAGGTTGACTTTACTATCTAGTACAGGGGTAGGCAACCTCGGCATTTCAGCTGTGGTGAAACTACAAATAAGAAATGGCAAGATAAAATTGCCATTTATCTCAGCAGTCCGAGAACTGAAAAATATGCACTGTTGATGGCCCCTGAATAGGACAGAGGACAACCACAGTGCTAGTGGACCAAGTTACTTTGGTCTGCTATCTGCTATTGACCTGTCATGATAGATTTGCAAAGAATGCTGGGGCAGTTGGAGGGCACAGCTTACTTCAGCCTGCTCTCCCTAGACAGCTCTTGATGAAGACAAGCGCCTCACTGCAATTTGTATTTAAAGTTTTCCTGCCACAGGTCAGCTAATAGAGTTTTGCTGTCAGAATTTATGGTCATTGCAGCAAGGGAAGAAAAGAACCCTGCTAAGAAAATAGCTTTGTGATATATTTCCCTATATAATTTATTCCCTTTATAAATTACCTCGTGAGTTTCCTGAACCGAGCTGTTCATTACAGAAAAAAAAGGAGAGGTAAGACAATTATGTACAAATACAGCTGTCAAGGGATAAAAGATTAGCCGGAGAATTGATATAGTTATGTGAACACATTTTCTCTGCACCTCGGACCCATTATTTATTTTTAATCAATTAAAACCAGTACTGAAATGTGACATAGGCGACATAGCCATGGGTGAGATGTACATTTACTCCAAAAGCGTCATTAACAGAACTTCCTGTTCATCTCACCACGCTGTACCCTAACCTTCAGAGGAAAAAAGATTCTCCAGTTCCCAATGGTTCCAAACAAAAAGCCAAATATTGGGGAGGAAAATAAAAACCCACACCTATGATGAGGTGATGAGGTGCTTGCACATACCATTTAGCCCCCTTTGAGTACACTCCTGCACCCAATCTGATCTCCAAGTTGCAACACTTCCTAATAGTGCTGCAGGCCAATCAAACTCTCTCCTGCCATTTGAACCTTTCTTACGGCCAGTGAAGCCATGCATTATATGGATGGGGTGTCAGGGAGATGTGACAGGGGGCTTGGCTGACCTTCATTAATACCAGCAAGTGTTGAAACCTGCAGAATTGAATAGTTCATGTTTTTGAGGGTCCTGGAATGCACTGCACATTCAAGGGTACAATGCTAGCAACAGTTGGCTCTGCAGCATTATTTCTAATCAGTGAACCTACCAAACCTACTTCCCCCCCTCTTAGGAGAGATATCAGCTTGCCCAGCACAGGATTTTCAATGCCATTACATGAGTCTGCATATAAGAACCCTTATTGTCAGAGAGTGTGCACAATTTGCAGCTATTGAAGCATGGCATGGGGGAGCTTAACATGAATCTGTACTCACAACAAACATTAGAAAACAACATTGCTCCAGGAAAAAAAAGAAGGTATCATAATAAACCTTTAACATATGTATGTTTCCTTGTAGTACCCCAAGATTCCTGGAAACACACACAATTCTTGGCACACTGGCTATAGCTTACAAAGCAATACTTGTTACCTTTGTAGAACAATGACAGTCCCTCAGTGGGTGGCTGTGCATATGCTTTAACATCCATAAAGAAGTGGAGATCCAGAGTGAAATTATAGTTAGCTCCTGTTACGCAATTGTCACATCTTCCCTACAACACCCTACTACACTTGTTGTAGCTTCCCTACAACACTTTGCTCACTTCTACTGTGAGCAAAAATACATTGCAAGATTTCCATATGTAAAACAATCTTTGTACATCATAATTTTACTGCTTCCACTGGTCGGAACCACTCATCTGGGGCTGTATAGTAACCCTCACCAGCCAGTCCCCTTCACTTCTCTCTGGCCAACGTCAGTAGTCTTCTGGATCCAGAGAGGACCTCTCCAGTGGGCAGTCAATGGGAGCTGCCCAAGTCACACAGGATGTGACGTGGACACCCGGAAGAACCCCCGCAGCAGGAAGCAAACAGAAAGGAGAACTCTGCTCCCGATGATCATGTGGCTGTGGTTTAAGGTAAGTGAAAAAAGCGACTTAGAAAGTTTGGGGAATTGGAGGGTTTTTATTTTATCCTGGAATTGGGCTTTAAAGCACAAGTTAAAAAAGAAAACCTTTAAAAATTGCTAGGCGGTAGATACCGTATTTTTCGTTCCATAAGACACGGTTCCCCCCTCCCAAAAGGCGGGGGGAAATGTGTGTGCGCCTTATGGAGCTAATCACTATCGCCCAACACCCAGGACATGCAGTTTCGGGCGCTGGGTGAGTAGTTTTTTTGTACATTCACAGGTAAATGTACATTGGGAGCCGCTGCTCGTTTAATACAAGTGATCTAATCAGATCACATGTATCAAACTGAGCGGCGGCGGTAGCGATCGTGTCCGGGACCCTGCCGCCGTGGTTTTTGGGGTCCCCCGCTCCTCTGGGGGACCAGTGACCACGGCATAGGAGCTCACCATAGAGAACGTCTGTTCTTCGTCTGCTCTGTGTGATTCACTGAGGTTCACTGTGACTACAGTCCGGTGTGTGTTATGGAGCACAAAATATGGTATGCAAAGCCTCTTCTGTCAAAAAGTTCTCCTTCTCTACCTCAGCAATTTTTTTATTTTGAGTGTCCACTGTACGACGCATATGTCATGCAGTGTACGCACTCCGCTTATTCACGGCATCTCTAAGGGGCCTTGATAGCGGGGTAGATGCAACTCCTGTGTGAGCGTGTACGACTTACATCATCAGAGGCCACCCAATGGCCGAAGTGGATTCCCACAAGACACGGACATGGTGGTGCCTGAGATGGCAGGGGACAGAATGCAGGACCAAAGACCGTCATAAGGTAAGTGTGCCATATTGTGCAAGTTTCCTGTGTATACGTGCACATTCTAGCAAAAACTGACCCTTCTTATAGTGCTTTACTATAACTTTAAAGACGGTGACAGATAGAGACCATCTGACTGTCAAAATTAACTGTGAATAACAATGACATTATATTGCTATACCAACCTAAACATGTATATAGATAGTAATATGAGTAGACCAAACACATAAAATAAAGATTATTATCTTGCACATCAACCTCATCACATTATTTTATACATTATTCAAGAAATAAAACAAATACATAAAACCAAAATAAACAAAGGGAAAAGCAAAGACTTTAACACACTCCTTGCATCTTATGCTGCCAGTCCTAGATCTGAAGAATTATGACACAGTATTCAGCACTGCAATAAAAAAATAAGCTCTTTAATTAGATATAACTTATGCTGCAAGCCTTTTTATCAGATCACCTGCATTGTGGAGCGGAGGGGAAACAGACCATTCAGAGAACTCACCCTGTAGAGAGGATGGCACTTGTCCTTGAAGCAGGGTGCCAAATGGGCATAGATCTGCAGGCTGTAGTAATAAGCTGCCAGCTGGAGAGACAGAGCTGAATGCGATTGCTTTTCAAAGCACTTGTTGGCATCTAGGACCTAGAGTAAAAAAAAATGACAGGCACAAAATTGACTTGGCTGAAGACAGCATGAAATACTTTGATTTAAACCCTCCGCTACTGGAGTGGCATGAGTGCCATGTGTAATGCTTTACATGGGACTTGGAGCTTGGCTAATTAATGCCTCCATAACATAATCTTTAAATAATTATGTTGCTTACAAATTTTACTTAGAGATATGATTTGATATCACTAAATGGACAACACTACATACAAGCCAGCACATGGTTTAACACAAAGCTGTCTTAAAAGGGATCTGCACTGTGGAAGCTGTTCCCAGAAAAGGCAAGCAGGGGGCAATGGGCTGCTCACCAGTATTGTCTATAGGCTGTCTGCTGCAGCTGATCTTTTCCTATTAATCACTTACTATACCTTTTCCACACTCTATGTCTGTGTGGAATGTGGCCATCTTGCTTTTTTATTTTTGGATAAAGCAATCCCCGTTTTTTTTTTTTTTTTTTTTTTTTCTTTACCACCAGTGTTCTATTGGGAAGATCTCCTTTAACTTCCTGTGTGGCAGCCACACCAGGAAGTTAGAGAAATCCCTGGTGGTCACCAGAACGATTGTTCCCATTGGAAGATTTTCCATCTATTCCTGTTATCATGACAGCCCAAAATTTGGGATATTTGTTCACTTCCAGTGATTATGGTCACCAAGAGAAATAGAGAGGTTGGCCCTCCCCAACGGAGACACACACAGCAATAAAAACCTGACAGGGGGATCTGGGATCCTTGGATTTCGCAATGGCTAACCCCTAACTTTGGCAGACAACTGCTATCTCCAAGTTTCTCATAATATCTACCTGTTATGTATGAGAGCTTGACCCGGACCTCTAGACTGTGCCTTTCCCCTTGGCTACCCCTTCATTTCTGTTCCTTACCTCCTTTTTCTTCCCTACCCTCCACCTTTCCTTTTATATTATAGGGATTGTTATCCTCAACCATTATGTGCCTTGTTATACATCATGATTGATGCATCACTACGTTTCAATTTGCATCGTTGCAGATTACTGCTGACAATATGTTGTCATCTTTCACATGTTATTTGTAATTTCTAGTTTTCATTACTGGATTCTTGTTCTCTGTATTTCCCTGTAAAACTAATACACATTTTAAACATAAAAAATACCTGACAGGGGTTCTAACCCCCCCTCCACTCTACCCAATATGAAAAGAAAGGTTTTGGATTCAGTTGCACTTTTATAGCTACCACCTGGACATCATACAAGAAGCCAACACAGGCACCATGAAATTGTCATTACATAATGCAGAAAAGGATAAATGTAAAAAAAAAAAAAAAATATGATTTATATATGAAAAGTTGCTTCTCAGTTGGTTCTCGTCTAGTAATTTCACTGTATTATCCACAGCAGCTATAACCGTAACTAGGGATGTCCGGATACCGATACTAGTATCGGTATCGGGGACGATACAGGACATTTTCGCAAGAACTGGTGCTTGTGAAAATGCCCCGATACATAGCGCCGATACCGGCACTTCAATTTTTAAAATAGTTTCAGGCTGCCCAGAAGTACTGCCCTTGTTGGGATCCTCTGGGCAGCCTGCCGGGCAGCTAAACGAGGACCTCACATAAGCTCCTCCCACAGCACAGCCACAGAGCGACGGGGGCGATGATGCTCTCTCGCAGCGCAGGCGACCGAAGGGCCATGTGGGAGACCAGGGATCGGACTCCTGCACAGCGTCACGCTCCTGTGACTTGCTCTTGTATGTTTTGCTTTTTTATGCGGTAGCGGTAGCGGCGATATAAAACCCCCAGTGGTGAATAAATACCACCAAATGAAAGCTCTATCTGTCCTCAAAAAAGGGTATAAAATTCATTTCAGTACAGCGCTGCATGACGGAATAAATGTCAGTCAAAGTACCGCAGCGCTGAATACTGAAAAATGGCCTGGATGGGAAGGGGGTTTAACACCGCGGATGTCAACTGGTTAATGGTTAAATGATCCACATTATACTGTACACACTTCCAGTACACTGCAGAAATACAATTCTTCACTGCTAACTTAAATAGGATAAATTTTACCCTATTCAAGTTAGCTGGGGGAGAATTCTAACTATTTCCGCAGTGTACTGCAGGTTTGTACTGTATACTATGGATCATTTGATTTAATCTATTGAAGTTAGCAGGGAAGAACCGTAACTATTTCTGCATTGTGCTGGAAGTGTGTACTGCGTACTATGGATAATTTGATTTAACCTATTCAAGTTAGCAGGGGAGAATTATAACTCTTTAAAAGATCAGGTTGCAGAAATAGAGTAACAATTCTCCCCTGCTTCTTCCAATCTGTCCAACTTCCCCCACTTAAACTTGAAGTTATACAAAGTATTGCTGACATGAAGCAATGACTGAGACATTAAATTGGATGTGGGAAATATTATGGACATGCTCCACAAGAAACTGCCCTAAAATCATCAGTCCGTATTGTTTTAGAAAAAATGGTGCATGTCCCTTTAAGAAAAGTATTGGTAATTGGTACCTGAGGGACAGTACGTGTACTTGGTCTTGAAAAAGTGGTATCGGGACATTCCTAACCGTTACCCATACAACATAAGCTAAACGTACCTGTGGAAGAGCGAGCAGATAGGCCACAGACAGAGTGAGGTCGTTCGGCAAAGTGTCACTCGCCAGCTGCAGCAAAACTGAAAGAGACGAGAGAAGAAAAGAGTCATTACACACACAGCAGATTAAAAATACCCATTTGACGTGGAGGTGCGATAAGGCTACAGCGCTCATTACACGGCACACTGCATAATGATTTGCGTAATTTAAATGAAAATGCTAGTTGGTATGATTCATGAAGCGCTCATGGACTATCAAACTGAAATTCTGCCTTACGTTAATTGTTAGGCAAAATATTTTCCCAATGCTGCTAAACACAAGGAAACAGATGCTGTGGCAGATTGTGGGAAGGGATCCTTGCACACATTTCACAGAGATAATCAGTAGGTCATAAAATAAAACCAACCACTGGAAGAAAGTCGAGGACGCTTCGGGAAGAAAAGTGCCGGGGCAGCAGAATCCCGGCACATGAGCCCATAAGCCTCCACAGTTCCCATTCTTCCTAATAACAGTGACAATGACAACCTATCACAAGTAGGAAAGCAGAAATATTAGAATAGAGACACCACTCTTAGATTATAAAGGAATAAAGTGCTGCTAATGTTTTGGTTTAAAGGGAACTTAGCTTAAAGCAAAGAATCTTATCAGTGTGTCCCAAGGTATAGCCAACCTCAGCACTCCAGCTGGGGGAAACTACAAGTCCCATGAGGCACTGCAATACTGACAGCCATAAAGTATGGCTTCCAGAGGCAGAGGCATAATGGAATTTGTAGTTTCCCCACAGCTGGAGTGCTGAGGTTGCCTACCACTGGTGTATCATAAATTATTAAATATGTGTATAATATACAGATACACTCTCCAGCCACTTTATTAGGTACACCTGTTCAATCGCTTGGTAGCACAAATTGCTAATCATCTAATCACATGGCAGCAACTCAATGTATTTAGGCATCTAGACGTGGTGAAGACGGCTTGCTGAAGTTCAAACCGAGCATCAGAATGGGGAAGAAAAGTGATTGAAGTGACTTTGAACATGGCATGGTTGTTGGTGCCAGACGGGCTGGTCTCAGTATTTCAGCAACTGCTGATCTACTGGCATTTTCACACACAACCATCTCCGGGGTTTACAGAGAATGGCCCGAAAAAAGAAAATATCCAGTGAGTGGCAGTTGTGTGGACGAAAATACCTTGTTGGTGTCAGAGGTCAGAGGAGAATGGGCAGACTGGTTCAAGATGATAGAAAGGCAACAGTAACTCAAATAACCAATCATTGCAACCGAGGTATGCAGAATACCATCTCTGAACACACAACACGTCGAACCTTGAAGCAGATGGGCTACAGCAGCAGAAGACCACACTGGGTGCCACTCCTGTCAGCTAAGAACAGGAAACGTAGGCTACAATTTGCACAGGCTCACCAAAATTGGACAATAGAAGATTGGAAAAACGTTGCCTGGTCTCATGAGTCTCAATTTCAGCGGCGACATTCGGATGGTCGGGTCAGAATTTGGTGAAAACAACATGAAAGCATGGATCCATCCTGCCTTGCATCAACGGTTCAGGCTGGTGGTGGTGTAATGTTGTGGGGGATATTTTCTTGGCACACATTGGGCCCGTGATGCTATCATGTCAATAAGGACCATAATCTCTGAGGAATGTTTCCAACATCTTGTTGAATCTATGCCACGAAGAATTAAAGCAGCTCTGAAGGCAAAGTGGCCGGTGAGTGTATATATGTGAAAGGAAGCAGCCATATTTGCTTGTGACACGAAGGTTGTGCCTCTGGCTTAGCGTTGCTGCTACATATCATTGTTTCAGGTTGTCCTAAATACAACAGACTCTTGATAGGGCTAACTGAACATATTTGAGCATATTTGTATATTTCTCCGATATACAGTTGACCAGTGAAGACAGCATTTACAATTCTCTTAATGGGATACATACATCAAAGAGCTGATCAGCAAAACAACTAAAAGTGTAAAAGTCACAACAAAATGATTTTCAGACATAAGAACCTGTCCCCTAAAAAAGGGGGTAGGTATGGGTGAAAGCACAACTAATGATTTCCCAACATGGACAAATATTTGCTGTAGGACTTTCCTGTCACTTTGAAGAACCAATATGAAGTCGCTTGAGGTGCAAAAAGTCAACCCATTGCTCAACTTCCTCTGAGAAAGACAGGACTTACAGGTCCAAAGGCCCTATATGCTTTGAGTGACCCAAAGCACTGATAAAAAAACTCATAAAAGTTGCATGCAGGTATTCAGAACGATTACAAAGGAAAAGTTGACTTTAAAGTGTATTTTCACATTTGCAGATTGCGATAACACCATTTTTGTATTTCCCCTTCTTTGTAATGTTAGAAGGGGTTATGAAGGGTTACATGATTAAACCCTGGCTTCGGCATTGTATGTTAATGAAGTTAATTAGACAGAATCGTCAAATTTCAGTCCTAAGTCTTTCTATAGTGACAGATCACTGTGCAGGTGCTCAGAAAAACCGGGATTCAGCCATGTTGCCTGCTGAAACAAAACATCTTAAAGGTAAGAAATATATTTTTTGTAGTATTTTTTTTTGTTATGGAATGTGAATGGGAACACATAAGAAACAGAGGGGTTTTCTGAAATTTGAACCGTAAACGTGGAAATACCCTTTAAATCATACAATAATTATGCATGCACTGTTTAATTACACGGCAACCTTGTTTTCCCACTAATCTCTTATCCTATGTGACCCATACAAAATGGCACCAAATGGAAGGTGTCACCCAGCCAGAGAGTACAGCATAATCTAATCCCGAGCCTCACCATGTTGACAAGGGAGGGAGAAGAGCTTTGTCAGTAATTAGTAAAAGTCTCTAAGGGTGCCATATCAGAATCAGACTACTGTCATTAATGAAGACACTGTATATTAAACTCCAAGCTCTGAAGGTGACCGTACGTAAAGTCAGAGATTCCATCAAAACAAATCGACTGCTTTGGGATTTATACACTGTTGGTACGAGACACAAAATAAGACACTTCTTAAATTAATGGATTACTAATCAGTTTTTATTATCTTCCTATTATTATTATTATTATTATCGTTTCTAAAGTAAAATGCTCAGAGAGAATTATGGGTGATGAACAGCTAACAGCCAAGCTGTGGGTGATGAGCTTCTTATCAAGGTTAGAGAAATTATCTTTATTGAGATAGGATGCTTGGGGTAGACTCATGTGGTTCAGATAAGAGGTATCCAAGATCAGTTTAAAAGAAAAGGAAATGCTGATAACATAACATAAGCTACTACTTGCAGTTGTTTATTGACTTGCTTTACTGTATCAACAAACGTGAAGGAAATAAAACACAGAATTAAAACAACAAAAAAATGACTGAAAAGTATTAAACCAGCTGGTCGGGATCCATACATTTATTTATTTACTTTGGGGAATTTAGCACATTTGGTAAGCGCTTAAGGACCAATCTCTGAGCTGTTTTACCGGAAAAAGGACATTCTTTTATTTCTTCAAAGGCAGCCAAGCAAAGAAGTTTAACATACAGTAGCGTTCTTCAGCAGTACAACATACAATATGCTTGGAAAACAGATAGTCTTACCATTCTCAGGTTGATCCTGTTCCGTGCCCCAGTCCCTGGACTTTACTGTTTTACTCAACAGAATCTTTTCAGGAACACTCTGTACCCTTGAGCAGCTTTCAGCAGCTTTTGATTCAACACACACACCACCTTGTGTGCCTGGCTCTCTCAGCCTCTCCAAACCTTCCAGCCTCTCCAAACCTTCCAGCCTCCCAGGTTGTTCCTCATGTGCCTCCAGCACACACCCAACTTGGCTTGGCCCTCGTGTGCCTCCCGCACACACAGCCACCGGGCTCCCCTTGTTTCCTGGAACTGCTCAGCCCATCTGGCTGAGAGTGTTGGGTGACTACAACCCCCAGTTCTACCGTGGGATTGCCACACAATACCACATCTCCAATATCATGGGAATCATTCATTCTTGATCTGCATGGCTCTCAGGGCATCCCCATAGTGGGTTTTGTTCTCCAACATCATGCAAAATAGTAAATATGCTTCATCAGGGGCATATCCCACTTGTTGGTGTCTGATATAGTTCTTGGTACAACCTTTATCCATAAAAAAATGAGCATTTTAAAGAATAACCATACTTCACTATTGATGACCTTCTAAATTCCTAGCACTTTGACAGTCTCTGGCTCCAGCACAGACAAGCATACAGCAAGTAAAGTCAGCGTGAAGTCACACCACCTAATCTGCATACCTGTTCCAGCTTGTAAGTCAATGTATCGAGACCACTACATCAGTATGACAGTCAGGCACCTACTACTGTATTAGAAGATGGAAGACAGAGCAGGTGGACGAACAAGGCAGAAGAAAGAGCAGGTGGGCAGATGGAGAGAACAAAAGGGGACGATGGACAAAAGAGAGAACAACACGGACAAAAGAGAGGACAAGGCAGACTGATGAAGGGAAAAACAAATGGGGTAGCTAAAAGATGGACAGGACAGAGTGAGTGGATAGAAGGTGGAGATGACAGAGCAGTGGGCCAAAAGATGGAGAGGACAGGGCAGGTGGACGGATGATGCAAGGACAAAGCAGACCAACAGATGATGGAGAGGAAAGAGTGGGTGGGCAGGTGATGGAGGTAACACAGAAGGTGGAGAGAGATGATGGTGAGGACAGAGTGGTTGAACAGACAATGGAGAGGACAGAGCGGTTGGACAGATGATGGAGAGGACAGAGTGGGTGGACAGATGATGGAGAGGACAGAGCAGTGGGTCAGATGGTGGAGAGGACATAGTGGGTGGACAGAGGATGGAGAGGACAGAGCAGGTGGACAGATGATGCAAGGGCAAAGTTAGTGGACAGACGATGCAAGGGCAAAGTTAGTGGACAGACGATGGAGAGGACAGCGCGGGTGGACACACAATGGAGAGGACAGAGCGGGTGGACACACAAAAGAGAGGACAGAGTGGGTGAACACACAATGGAGAGGACAGAGCGGGTGGACACACAATGGAGAGGACAGGGCAGGTGGGTAGACGTTGGAGAGGACAGAGTGACTGGA